AAGGTCCCTTCTGACCCAAACCATTCTGTGAGTCTATGAAAGTCGGGTAATGCTTTGGGCCTGCAAAGCAATAGGGTCCCTTCAACTGAAGGACTGTTGGGAAGAAACGCAGGTAAAACCAAACTGTTCTGCAGTCCAGGTTGCACTCTGAGGGCTGACTCGTGTGCCCAACATACTTCACAAATAATTATGACACAGTTATGGAAACAAGTCCTGAGGTTCAGGTGGAGCTTTACCAAATACCTCTTGTTTCTCAAACAACCATCAAAGAAGGCATTGATAAGGAAGGTTTGTCTCGGGGAGAGATGCTGTTCCAGCACATGGCCGTTAGTCGTCAAAGTTGATTCTGATCGGGCCACCTGTCAGGATGTGGTTTGCCACATGACCAGATTCCTTCTCCTCTTCCTCCTCTGTTGCATCTGACCTGCGCACCCGTCGCCGGCAGCCCTGGGCACAGCGAGAGCTCTCATCCAGCGTCCCGCACACGAGGATGCGGCAATGCAAGAACACCTCCTGGAGGGTGGCAAGACAGCAGGCCAAGTCAATGCGCAGCTCTGGGAATCAGACTGGCGTGCTGCCAGCTCTCAGAGACCATGAGTGACATGATTCCCACAGTACAGCCATTTCTGTATCCCTGCATCAACAAGGTCCTCATCCACCATTGCCATCCACAGCCAAACTGGCTGTTCCATCTGTTTTCTTATGTGCCCAGGAGAGAGCACATTTTCTAGAGTGCCCAGTTGAGATCTCAAGAGCATCATGTCTGCCTGTTAGCCAAGGGCTAGACAGAGAATATGAAAGTATGAAAGGATCTTCCAGAGGAAGGGATGGAAATGCCAGGAATAAGCTTGGAAGAGCTCACATGGACTGGTAGGAGCTGCATGGTAGGAAGCAGGCCAGAACACATGAGGCCTAACAAGGAGATGGATTGATAGAAACATGCAAGAGAATTTGACATGAGCTGAGAAAACATAAAGCTGGGAGACCGAGGGGCAAGGAGGAAAACGCAGGTTGATAAGGTGCTAAGACTGGTGTTGACAGGAGAAGGAGAACACAAAGGGCAGTGAGACAGTTGCCTTTTCTTTCTGCACAGTAAAGGCAGACAGTGGTAGGATTGCTGCTCCCTGCCCTCTGAATGACAAGGAGAGTAAGCAAGATCCCGGCAAGCAGCAATTAGGAAAGCAAATATTTGTAGATATTTGGTCAATGGTGAGGTTTGAAGCAAAATGCATTGCACAGGCTGGGAGGATGCAGGATGAAGGCAGCAGTGGCAATCAGATGGCCAAGGGAAATTTCTGAATTTTGAAATATCTCATCCATTTTAACCCTAACTGAGGCTTTCCAGGAGCTGCAGTGGCAGCTTTATGCCTTTTGAAGCAAGCAGCACAGGCTGAGCGTAACAACAGTGACTGAAAGACCTGATTTCTTCTAGCACAGACAAGGAAAGCTATTTGCATTAGGAAAATAGCATTATCCTTCAACTGTTCTCCCACTACAAAGCTTCTGCCCCAGAGTGGCACCAGCCTGGATGGCCTGGTTTCACATGGAATTAAACAGTATGGAGGCCTTGTGTCTGGAAACTTAGTATCTGTACTCACGAGAGCTAGAGAAGATATAATGTTGAAGATACTCAAAACTATAGACTGCCTTCTTTTAAAGACAGGACACTCCGTAATATGCCTAACTCCCCGGGTTTCTGTTTGGTGACTAGGAACACTTTCTCATCCAGCATACAAAGGTCCACTAAGACTACCCTGGAAACAACAATGATTTCAGCCTGCTATGGCATTGATGTTCCACACTGTCCTTTATTTAATTTTAGTTGTTTTTATCACTCTCTCCTAAAGTACCCGTGTCAGGCTCCTGAAAGACACAACTGCTAGAATAGGCACAGCAGCATCTGCCTTGGGCCAGCCATTCCTCCCTTTCACACTCTAATACAGCCAACTCTATGCTGAGAGTCAGATCAGGGCTGATGCAATATCCAAGAGGCAGGTTTTGAGCTTACCTTGTTGTCTTTGCCCACAAACTTGAACACGGGAACCTGGAAATGCTTGGCAAGATGGTCCTTTGACGTGTACTGCTTCACTGAATCATCAGAAACACAGCTGAGGAAAGCAGAGGGATAGGTTTTAATGGGTTTCCCAGAAATGGAAAAAGAAAGAGAAAAAACATCCCAGCCTATATAACCAGAGAAAGAAAAGGAGGGCTTGGCTCTCAAGCTAAGCTACTATCCATGTTACTTCCTCTTTGGCCACAGGAGAAAATTTGGGAATGAAGAGGAAACCCAGCAGCAATGATAATAGCATCTCCAGAGAAGGAACAGCTCAGCAGAGAGAGCTGGCAGAATGTGGTCCAGTCCCCTCAGCAGAGGGACTGCCAGAGAGCCGCAGGCAAGTTTGTCCTCATTTCACCTTCCTGTGCAACAGTCTGCAGTGATCAACAGAACTGTTATACAGTATATGATGTATTACGTACTTTCTGTAAACACATATATATGCACATAAATCATGCTTAAAATGAAAAAGCTTGTACCCACAGTACTAAAATATCACAGATCATGAAAATCACAAAAATCCAGATTTACTTTGCTTTACATCATGTACATATTTCTTCCTGCTGGACTTGGTCGGACAGCTCAAATTCACTACACTAAAATTTTTCATTTCAATTTCTCCATCACTAACACTATAAGGTCACGCGAGAGGTCAAAGAACTGCAAGAAAATAAGCTACTTATATAAAAAGTTACATTCCAGGTGCAGTCTATTTATAAACTATTACAGCCTATTTAGAATTTGACAGAGAAACAGGAAGACAAAAAGTTATCGTGACTTGATAATTACTGCTGCCTTGCAAAGCCTTAGGCATTTTGAGAGGCCTGGACGCTGCTGTTACATTGCATTACAATGCAGCTTGTCCTTTCTAGCAAGCTAATTCTGAAAATACAGACTTTGCAAGATATTAAAAAAAAAGTGATGGTGGAAGACACAAGATGTAATGGTGTGACAGCTGAAAGTCCCACTTTTGCAGCAATCTTTAGCTTCCATATTTACACCAGAAATTTGTAAGGCATTGTCAGAAATGCTGACATTTGACAGGTTCAATTATCAAACAGCAGCAAACCCCCCATCTAGATGTAGCTCTGCTTTCACTAGAGCATGTATTTGGAAATCTCTGCACTGTTCATCTGACTCGTCTCTGTGGGCGGCAGCCTGCTGCAATTCCTCCCAGAATCGCCCTTCTGCTATGTACAGTAGAGCAGTGTATGTTCACAGGAGCACTAAGCATCAGTCTGATCCTAGCATTATTTTCACCACCATGTATTTCTGTAGTTCTTCTCAGCCAGTGGAGGTCACAGTCTGACGGGATATCCCTGTCTGCAGCACTTGTCTAGTTAACAAGCCATCCAAGGAGAGCTAATAAATTAACATTGTGCATCTAGAAAAATTGACATAGATTTCCTCCCCCTTGAGGCCAAACACTGGATGTTACTAAGTTGTTTAAGACAAAATTGCTTTTTAAAAGTAGCATTCCTGAAGGCATCTGACTGTAAAGAATGACAGTTAAAGACTTTTCATAAGTGACTGGCCAAGCTTTGGGGCCATAAAGTCAACTCATAGGCATGTCCTCACTTGTGAGCATATAAACTGTGATGATTCTTGGACACTGGTTCAAACTGACTCCTAAATCCCAGGTTCTCCACACTGGTGGTAGGAAACCTACCGGTTTGGGGCTAGGGAGAGGGAAAATGGACGAACAACAAGGAGGAACCAGGGGGTACATGGAACCCCTACCATGCCTTATGAAGGGCTCTCACAAACACATTGTGGCATGACAAAAAGAGCTCAAAAACCTCACGAGTCACATTTTGCATTGTGCATGGGGCTATACCACATCTCACTCTCCTAGGAAACTCCCAGATCCTGCTTTCCACCTTGGAGAGGTGAGAAGGGGCAGGGAGCACAGGTATGGAAGGAAAATGGGTGACCCTGGTCAGGATATGGGGAAAATAACCCTTTCCTGAGCATAATGTGCTTAGGTTAAGGGAGCAGAGAGTGGCTGTGCCATGGGAGCTGTGCTCTGACTCTTTTGTTGGGGGGTTCCAAGGTAGAAAGGAGGGCATGGAGAATAGAAAAACCAGCCTACAAACAAGGGTCAGCCCGAGGTGTAACAAGATAAGCCTTGCAATGGAACTATCTTAACCACATCATGCTCAGATAAATCACAGCTCCTGACCACATCAGATTACAATGGATTGCCCTCAGTGACATGACCTTGCTCCAGATGCCCCAGAGAGCTGTAATGTTTATCACCTGTACAATCGGTCGATGCCTTTTATTTATTTTTGAGAAAGAAGAAGAACAAGATCGGAAGCAGGAGAGCTGCTTTGGGGCTGGCTGTCTGGGCTAGCAGCAGTACAGGGTATTACAGAGACAGCTGGGAGGGGTGTGGGAAAATCCTGATTTCCAGTGTGGTTGCAACAGCACAGGGAGAGGGTTGAGGAGTCCCACAGAAGGTGGCTCCCACCTTTTGCCAACTGGAGGTGGCAGGGAATTAACAGGGAAGAAAGCAGGAGAAGGAATTTTCCCACCCCTCAGTCTAAGGTATATCAGACTTAAACACTGTTTCCCTCTGGAAGATGCAGTTAACTCCTGCAGGTCTGATCCTATATAATCAAACTGATTTAAAAATCCCATCTTTATTGCCTTGGGCTTTTGGGGCTGTGTTGGATGGAAGGAAACTGGGTTATTACAGAACTGTTTGGAGCAGGGACAAATCAGCCGTGTAAGCAGATAATTTTACTTTTTAATTGCTGTGAGTACACAGAGAGGCAACAAACTCCAGTTAGCTCAACAGCACATCATTAGCCTTTGGTCTAAGCGAGTAGTTCCATTTAAATGCCGCACCGTGTACAGGGCTGGCATGTCTGGGGACACTGGGGCCTGCAGTGATGGCTGGAGAGAGGAGCAGGCTGGATGAGGCTCCAGCTCACTTTTCCCTTCGGTGAAGTTTTAATGCCCTCTGCAGGACAACAGTACCAAAGGGGTTGCTGGTGCCGTAAATCCTCCAACTAGTGCTGTGGTGAATCCAAGAGATGACATTTTCTGCCTTCTCTATTTGGCTCAGGTTTTAGCCACTGTTTTGAATCCTATCATTTTCACTCACTGTGGGAAATGAATGACATTCGGAGCCTTGACTCTGTGAAGGGTCCACAGGAACAGCCAAGGCAAGGAGTCGATAAATCAATCCTTCTGTTACAAATCTGCTCATAAACCCCAGAAATGTCAGGCACAGGACTGCAGCCTAGGATGGAGGGAGAGCAAGCTAATGCTGAAACCTTTGTCAGAAGGAAACAAAAGCAGTGTTTTTGTGTACTGTACTCTGCAGAACCCTCTTGCTACAGAACAGTCACACAGGACTTGTCGCTAGCTGTAATGGTGGACGATTTAGCTTGGCAGCTGAGGAAATAATTGTTGTCCTCATTAGATGGTTTGGCAGACAGAATACAGGACTTATACAAGCACAGTCCCTTGACTGTTGGGCTACAACACTTGGGTATGTCTTAGATATTACTTTGGCTGGACTTTCCTCCCTAGAGGACAGCAGACTGGTTCCCAACTGTGACATTTCCACAGCGTTGTCTGGTTAAGCTGTCAGGCACTGCTGGATGCAAACACTCCACAGCAACATTGTACCATGGCACACTCACGTCAGCACCCCAACAAGTGTCTGAAAATAGGGGTGCTCTTAGGAGCTACAGCAGAGCCCACGGCAATGCTCCCCAAACCTCTGATGCAAAACCCATTACAGTGAATCCTGAGCTTTTTACTAGTGTATCTGGAAAGACCACTAACGCCAAATGCCTCGGAACATTACAGCCAAACTGAGGGACCCTAAGCTTACTGCACTGACAGGCATCAGAGAGAGGGCAAAGCAAGGGGAGCTCCTGGAGCCCCAACCAGGATCAGCCATGGAGTCTTCCAGTTCATGCTATAATAAGGCCATTATGGGAAAATTAAGAAACTTGCTCCAGTTGCTGCAGTGGCTGCGTGGCAGTGGCACACAGCCATCGGGGGGTTCTGCTGATTGGTTTGGTGCTCTGCATGCTGGCAGAGAGAGGATATCAGGAAGGATATCTTTTCTACAGGAGCCAACTCAATTATCCACAATGTTAGTTACAGGGAAATATGTCCTGTAAAGGCTGCACTTGGAGTAATCCCTTTCACTGCCTCCCACTGTTTCTCCCAGTCACTTTTGATGGGACAGGTGGTTTCAGCTTGATGGCTGAAAGGCCTATCTGCTGGCAATTGCTAGAAACACAGCAGACAGGCTGCTGTGAAGTGATAGTGTTTCCTGTGTCACACAGGCCATACAAATTAGCCCCATTGCCATTTCCCATCTAATAGGCAGCAAGGGAGGGAACAGTGAACTCACCCATCTTGAATCAGGTAGTACTTCAGGATCTCGTCGATTTTTGAGGTGGGAGTGGCAAAGCAGCTCTCTACCAGTGTCTCTAGTCCACTGACATGTACCAAGGGTTCAATCCCAAAGTACAGAGAGTCCCGAAGCTTGAGGGTGGGAAGAGCACCCCTGTAGGGTTCATCAAAGTCTTTGTCTTTGAAGATCTCAAGAGTGAAAGGAAAGATGCCCTGGTTGCGGCTCATGATTTCCAAGGGAGAGTTCTTGAGGTTGGGCACATAACCTTCAGAGATTGTGTACCGGCATGGGAACTCACAGGTCACCGGGATCAGCAGCTTGCTGGTGCGGACAATGATGTCTCCATTGCTTCCCGGAGTCTGCTTTGGCAAGCCGGTCACCAGATTGGTGGCAATGATTTTATCATTTATTACCTGCAGCAAAGAGAGAAGTTGAAAGGAAAGGGCAGATCATTGAGAAAGACCTCTTGATGTTCAGACTAGCAGCTGAGTTTACCCCAGTTCAGAAAACATAGACATAAACTAGCCACTGAAAGTACAGCTTGTGAATTTATAAGTTTCAACCAGAATGATGTTCATCCTTGCCTATGAACTAAGGGCCTCTATCAGTTTGCTGTCAGCTTCGGTGCACTGTACTCCTGCATGAAGCAGAGGAATTTGTTTCCAATTGCTACCCATCTGCTAAGAAAAGCTCTCTGGTTCCTGACCAGTTGACAGTATAACCTTTGAAATATTATTGGGGGACCAGATTCTGTCTCAACAGGAGGGTGAAGAGTGACACCACTTGTGCTTTCCGCACCAGAATGATGGTGGAGCTGCCTCTGTGAAGCACTACGTAAGCAGAAAGCAGTACCCACGCAGAGAGACGCACACCACTAGAGAGGTGATGGAACAAGCTCTCCTGCTTTGGAATGCCATCCAGGGTCTAGTCTGAGGCCAGCTGCACAGCGACACAGGAAACTGCTCTGATGGTACAGCTAAATCAACTTTATTCCCCAAGGAAGCCATAGCCAAGTCCCCAAACCCGAGACACCCCAAGAGGCAGGACAGCAATGGGTATACATACATCTACAACAGTGCCGCAGGACTTCAAGGAGAAATGGATGTTAACATGAGTGCCATTAGATACTCCTTTGCATGAAGTGTTGATGAGGGAAAGGTCCAGGCCTCCAACCAGGTCCTTTGGGATGCTCACCTCAATAGAGCTGGACTTGCACAGCACTGGAACTAAAAGAAAAGTCTCCAGAAAAACAATCTGCACTACAAATCTACCAGGCAGCTGGGGAAGGGCTGTAGCAATTATTTTTTGGGGGGGGGGAAATCATATGCTGTATTTATGACTACTATCTTACCATAGTAATCAACTACTTATCTTACATACCTACCTACACAACATAAACCTCCTGAGCTACCACTGCCTCAAATCCTCCTGGTGCAGCGGTGCCACAACAGATGACGAAGATGACCGCTACACTCGCAGCAGAAACTTAGCTATGCTGTACTTGCAGCTACACTTAACACTCAGCACAAACTTGATTGATATCTCTTGCACTGCTATGTCCTGGGAAGAGCCTTTCCCAGATACGGATATAAAATCCACAACACCCTAGGCAAAGCCATTTTTTAAGACCCTGAACCAGATTTTACATCAAACCCAGAACATGTCAAAACAAGGCAAAGTAATTCCATATAGATGCTGAGCTAAAGTGGAAGCACCTCAAAATGCCACAATAATATTTTTATAAGCAATAAAGACAGCTCTGACAAACTAATCCAATTAGCTCACTCATCCCACCTCCTTCCAACCTTTGAATTTTAATACAGATCTCCAAGTGAACTTTTTTCACTTAAATTCCATTACGCAAAAAGTGGGAGAAAATGTAGAGATTGGACAAAATGAAAAAGACAACAGAATAATCTTTAATAAAAAAGTAATTGCTATGTATATTCCTTGGCTGTATATCTATCTATTCAGTTAGATAGAGGACAAGCATACTGGTGCATATATTCTGGTCTTTTCTCACCCAGAAAAATAAACACCCTGCAGAATTTCCATTTATTGTATTTTAAAATCACGACAAAGTTTTTTTGCAAGTACACTAGTTCCCCAAGCTTTTTCCCAAAATGAATTACAGTCCCAATCCTTGACATTCCTATGATCTGCCTTCCCTTAATTTCAGTCATTAATTACCCAGGATTCTGGATCTTGGATACAAGGCACACTGCTAAAACATGCCTTTTACCCCTCTTAAAAATTCTCCTGTCCCAGCTAAGGTATTTGTAACAGCTACCGTGTACCTGCAGGGAGTATTTTTTATTAAAAGTTGATCTTTTCAAGGTGATATGCTAAAACGTATGCAGTGTGCCCAAAGCAATATGCTCTCATAATGACATTGCTGGGTTAGAACAGAAAATGAAAGAACTAAGAATTACCTTAACTTTTCCTCCATCTGCAGTAGAAGGCAAGCGGGAATAATCGAGCATGTCAAATGGCAAAGCTCACAAGGAGGCATAGGGACTTGGCGAACACAGTGCAATTCAGACAGAGATGAACATCCTTTGGGGGGCTGATTGGGTCAATTTGAATTTAAAGCTTCACTGTTCTAATGAATCCTTGATGAACAAGAAAATGTAATGCTTTTATTAAGGTGTAATCCATCAGGGCAAGACAGTTTGGATTCCAACTACAATTCTCCAAAGTTCAGGACCAATTTTGTTCAGCCTGTCTCTGTTTCTAAACGTCTCTGACTGGCACAAAGGGGAAGAAAGAGGACACACCCATTTAACCTCTGCTCTGGCAGTGCAATGTGTGCACTCCATCACCTGAGCACAGAAACAAGTGAAAGAAAACTGTGAGCAGATCCACTTTTGATTCAGGCCAACTCATCGTGATTTGGGAAAACACTCTGGGAAACTCCTTATACTAACCATCTCAGGGTAACTGGTAATGTAATTCGAACCACCCTAGACATTTGTACACAGGGAGTAATCAATACTGAGAACAGTGTTTCGGTTCTACCAATCTAACAGTGGTACTGCAAGCAGAGAGACTGCGTGTGTAAGCATGATTCAGCTCTGAGCAGGCCTGATTCCCCAAAACACTGCCAGCAACAGCGTGGTAGGGGGAGCTGAAAAGGAGCTGGGAACGTGGCCGTGATTATATGCAGACATTATTCCAGGGCAAGTGATGAGGTCCCGATTGCCAGGACTGAGATGCCCAGCAGAAATGAGTTATCCTTGGTGCCAAGGAATCCAATTTTATTCACAACTTCTTGCATCCGTTCAGAGCACTGCACTCTCCTGACTTGCTGTCAGCATCCATCTCTTGCATCCCTGCCCTGGGCTCACCCCAGCCTGTGAGGCTGCCAAGAGCCTCACCCAGTCTTTGCCAGTCAAACGTTCCAGTTCTTCACCCTCATACGCTGCAGAGCACCTGTAAGCTCTGGGAAAACCACCTCATTACTGCTTTAAACTCTGCTTTGCACCAATGCCTGCAAGTGCCTTGACCTTGGCAGGAAGCTTCTGTGGTGAGTTCAACACTCATTTTGGTGCCTGCTATTGTTGGCACCATGTTCTTTGTCTGGCCTGTGGCTCCTTCCCTGGCCTTTCAGAGTACAGCTGCTTGGAGCAGAGGTTATCTTTTTGCACAGACTGCTCAGTACAATAGGCTCTCTGGTGCTGGGGAGCCCTGAACCATTGCTACAAACACAAATAAACCGCACCATTGTACTCTGCTTAGCTGTCCACAGGGCTTGGGCATGGGAGAGGGGAGAAAAGCATTTCACCACCACACTTCAGAAAGAGGTGGGGTACTAGGATGGTCTGCAAAATTCCAAGTATTTTGTTGGCTGGTGTCTTTGTGGGAAAATTGTAGCCAAGACTGATTTCTGTGGAAGATTATGAATATTTGTTCTGAATGTAGAGACAGTACAGAGGAAGGTTAATAGGCTGCAGATCCAATTGCTTGAGGCAACTGTGCCGGCCCTGCACTCTTAATTGTACTACTACAAACCTGATTAGATGCCACAAAATTGTGTGGTACAGTTCCAGATATATTCTGTCATATCTGCTCAAAACTGCAGACCACTGTGTGGGGACATAAATTCATGAAACGCAACAGAACGAGCAATTTTTCTTTATGAGATGCCGTATCTCGAGCCCCAGCTTGGCACCCGCCAATGCTGCTGCTCTCATTAGCAGTCTCAGAAGAAGGAGAAACCCTGTCTGGGAAATGCACAGCTTTCTAACCCTATTGGGGTTGCCTCAGGGAGCCAGGATTGAAGAATGTTGCTCTTTTCTGGCCCGTATCCATCAATCAGACCTTCAATTGGTTAAGTATAATCACAGCTTTTGGAAATCCCCATCTCCTCCTCTCTGCTGGAGCAGTAAGCACTAGTGAATCCCAAGTGTGCAGTGCTCAGCCCTGAAAACAGTGCCTTGAATTTCTAAAAAGCTTTAAAAGCAGAAATTTCATCAAGTAGAACCATTCCAACTTCCTCTCTGAGGCATACCTGCCCTGTTGGCCACCATGAAGTCTGGATCTGTTCCTCTAACTGAAGTCTGGGCACTTTGTAACACATCAGAGAACAGGACATTCTAAGCACACCAGGTAACGGCAGCTCATCAGTATTATCTAAAGCCCAGGTGAATTAGTCCATGATAGGCTCCCTCTTATTACATTTTAGATCCTGCCCTGGCTATGGCCTGAGTCCAGACCATTAGAAAATTCCCACGGAAATATCCGAAAGCAACTACACAGGTTCTTCATGGGCCCATCAAGGCAGAAGACAAGCAGAGCGCTACGAGGTCTGTCTCTACCAGGGCAGTAGTATACCTTCTCCAGCCTTGTGCTGAGCCTGACAGAGAAACAGCCAGGCAAGTCAGATGAGGCCCATCAGAAAATGTTACCTCTGTCTGCTTTTCACATGCCCACACATCTGTCCTTAACATGCAGTTTTGACTGAAAGTCCCTTCAGCAGTAGATCATAGTAGACATCATCTGTGTAACACACACAGGCTGCTCGATACTTTCAGCACTTCAGAGGCTCAGCTACCTGTGGGATTATGAGACCCAGAAGAATCCTGGGTGCAAGTCCTGGATTGTAAGAAGTCATTGCTTGAGGAGCTACAGACCCTCTGCTTAACTCTCAATGCCCTCAGGAACTTCTCCCTGATCCTCTGCTCCCTGCACTCACAGCTGCAGAGCTAAATTGACCATTGGGGTCCTGGATGAATTTGCAAACAAAATCTCACTCAGCTCTTACAACACAAAACAGGGAACTTGTTTATTCCACAGGCATGCTACAGGTACAAGTGAGTCAGCAAGAAGTACTCGCTGTGTACAGAAATAGAGTAAAGTTCAGATGGAAGGTCTTCCAAGGATAATGTTACCCTTGCCTCTATGCAGCAGAAGCAACAGTCAATTTTCAGATGCTATCTTGGGCCCCTTTCTAAGGGACAGCAGAAACACCTAGTATCAGAACTAGTGCCCTGCTTCAAGACATAAGAATGCTTACTGGAATGGCTATCGAGATACCAGAGGCAAAAAAAAGGCCTCTCTCTTTAATCCCATTCTTGGAAAGGACTGAAGCATTCAGCTGAAATTTTAAAAGCTCAGTTTGAAGCATGGAAAGTTTCAGTTCTAATAGCATAAATTTGTCAAAGGCATACACAGCTAAAGCAAAGCAATATAACAGGAGACGTTAAGCAATCTTAGTTGTAAGTGAACACTGCCAAAACCGCCTGCAATGCAAGATGCACCCAGCTGGTCCTTTGTCTCTGCCATCCTTCCTGTAAGAAGAGCAATGACTCCAGCCTCTAAGGTTTGGATTGTCTGTCATTAACAACAAAGCTCCATTAACCAAACTGGAAAGGACAGACTAAGGGAATACAACAAAAACAAGAAGAAAAGTTACTTCAGAAATACTTTTGGCATACATGGGACAGAGGCTATCAGGGAGATTTTGTTGACCTACCTTGGCAAGTGTGGTTGTCTTCTGACAGAACAAGTCCCCTTGGACATTCACATTGGTATGTGTCTTCCACTTCAATACAGGTATGGCTGCAGCCTCCATTGTTATTGTGACAGCCTTCGATTTCTGCAAAAGAATGGAAAATCAGCACACCCTGCTCCTCAGGCAGCTGTGTGGTGGCTACGCAGGCCCCAACATATACTCCTGGCTGACTAATAAACAGTATAACCAACACAGAGCTCAAAGGCAACAGCATAGCGAGAGGTTGCTTCCAAGAAAATGTGGTGGAAACCTATTTTTAATTGTACAATTTCCTGTGTCATTTCACCATCAGGGCCCAACTTAACTGCCTCTATGCAAACACATGTAGCCTGGGCAATAAACGAGAGGAGTTAAGAGACATGCACATGCTTGCAGGGCTATGATCTTACTGACATCGTGAAGATGTGGTGGGATGGCTCCTATGACTGGAGTGTTGGAAGGGAAGGGTACAGGACGAGGGGTAACAGTTTCCATCTGAAAGAGGGAAGGTTTAGATGAGATATCAGGAAGAAGTTCTTCACTGTGAGGGTGGTGAGGCACTGGCACAGGTTGCCCAGAGCAGCTGTGGCTGCCCCCTCCCTGGCAGTGTTCAAGGCCAGGCTGGATGGGGCTTGGAGCAACCTGGTCTGGTGGAAGGTGTCCCTGCCCATGGCAGGGGGTTGGAACTAGGGGATCTTTGTCCCTTCCCATCCAAACCATTCTATAATGTGATTCTACAAAGTTAACAAGGAATTCCATGAAAAAGCTTAGCAAATTAAATCACACGCTATAACCGGCATATATAAGAAGGCTGAACAGGCAATCTTCAGCTTAGCCCTTTCTAACTTCTGAGACATCCTCTTAAACTAAATTTTTATGTTGTTTCTTACTTCAAAAAGGTAGGAGGAAAATCCTCTTAGAACTTTTACCGTGTGGAACTATACTCACTCCCTTAGTCACGAACAGAATTAAAGCCCTGAGATTTGCAGGGAAGGTGTCTTGGGAAGGACAGACTTGCAGGCAGCCAGCTCCTATTCCCATCAGGGAACACCAGAGACATGATGCGATCTTTGCCTGTGGGTTTCCCAGCTGCAATAGAGGCAATCATACTGGATTCCTGCACCCCCTTTGTTGGCTGAGGATGAAACTCTGCTCGTAGGAGTTTGTTTAGCAGTAATTCTGCTGGTTTGTGAGTTTTAGGCTTAGAGGTTGGCTACGATGAGGTGTATCATCACAGGGACAGAACAACACAAGTTCACAGTGTAAGGTCGATTCTCCTAATTTTCCCTCATTCTAAAGTGTAGAGGAGAGAGGTCAGTACAGGTAATTGGGGGATGTGTCACGTTTTTTCTTACATCTTTTCTGTTCAGGTGAGGCAATTCTCTGAGGACTCAGTTTTTATATAAAACATATTCCTCTGCACTATAGCTGCAGAAAAGAGCCTGAAAGGTTATCCAAATGCATTCTGAGGATTTGAAAATCTAAGGCAAGAAAGGCCATTTCCAGTTGTTGTTGGCTTTCTATTATAAAGAAAATAACAGAGTATGGTGGTTTTTAAAAAGAAATAACCTTCACTGCTTCATTTTTTAACCCTTTGGGATGAAAACTGCTAGATGTTCCCTGTAAAACAATAGCACATATAAACAAATCATAAATACAAAATATTTCTCCCTAGGCCTGCCATCAGAAATAACTGTGTGGTTTTCACTGAAACTGAAAGAAAATAATGGAAATCCCACATCAACCCTACACATTGCATGGAAAACAATATCCTGAATACTCCACATGAGTCAAAGTACTGAGTAAAGTGTTATAATGGAAATTTTGAGATACTCTTAACCCTACTCAGCCTCACCAGCTCACGCAATCAAGCTAAATCTCTTGTATTTGTTCTTTTTAGCAACAGCTGTGAAGTGGCTCACAAGTAAATCACATACTCTAATGGTTCACAAAGCTGAGGGCACATCTTTAGAAATAAAACTCACTAACAAGATTGTAAAAATCCCCAGCAGCAGTGTTAAATTTGTGAAAAGCACCATCCTTCTTATAGAAGGGGAAATTAAATGATATATCAAAGGCCCTAAAATCCAACTTTGGGAACAGCAGAAACAAATCAGTTTCCAAGCCTGGACTGTTCTAGCCCTGTCAGAAGAGCGCAGCGCTCTGGAATAAAAACTGCCATGTAGCACAGCTGGTTTACGTGACACCTCACCAGCTCAGGACTGGATGTGGATTGGACAAAGCCTACAGACCACTTTTGGCCTGACACAACTTAACAAGGACTTAAGGAGCACTCTGCACAGCAGCTTTCCCCAGGGAAGTGTCATTGTCTGGATGAGTGATGTTTTGCTAACAGACCTCAGAGAGGAGATTTTCACAGAAGTAAGATGAAATGTGCTTTGGTATCAAAGAGGGGGGGTAACAAGGACAAAAACTGTTAGTGAACCATAAAGAAGGGTGGAGTCCAGCCCAAAAATACAATGGTGATCCCTCTCTCTCCCTGCTGCACCGCGGATGTCTGCCACACAGCAGCTAATGTCAGGCTGCACATGCAGGCTGCAGATGTGTTCAGTTCTGGCAATTGGGTAGCTGGAAAGTGAAGTGCATCTGTAGCTATTACTCTTGTCTGAGGCCGAATGGTACCTGTGAACACACAACATAGCAGCTTTGCTTGTGAGGGGGTACAGTGCTCTTCACAGCTGACCACAGAAAACATCAGGCACAAGTCAATTTTTTCTGGGTCTTCATATTTCTGCTCAAAGATGTTTGTACATTGTTAGGGACAACAGATCAAACCTACAATTTGGTCTCTAAGCTCCTGCTAAGCTACCAGTCTAAACTCATCAAGGGTTTTCAATCCAGCTTTGCCACTATTGGGAAGTTACTGTAGCAGCTGCACACAGCAGAGCCCACAACTAACCTCTTACAAAAATCAGTCAAAATGCAACCCTAATCTCAAATCTAGATTTTGTTTACAGAGTGGAACCCCCACTCCTCAATCTTTATCCTGGGAAGCTAAGTGATCCTCATGCTCTAGTCTAATGTCATGACATTACCCCATACTTAATGCTAGCTGTTAAAAACCAGCAATACTAAATCTGACCCTGCACAACTATCGTACACGCCTCCAGAGCCAAATCCCAACATCTCCGGCAATAACTAGCTCTGTCTGGACAGCCAGTCTTCCAGATCCAGTGCTGCCTCTCCCCCCATGGAGATAAATACAAGCGAATCCTACCAGAAATGAACAAGGCAGGGAGAACAACAAGGAGGCTCCTCTCTACTTGATTAGAAGGATATTTCAGCAACAACCCTACTGGCAAGCACAGAAGTGATACGAGTGACATTTAATCCCAGCTGCAAGCAGCCAAGAGAGAACTCGTGCTTCAAGGGAAGCAGAATGATTTATATAGTTTCCAGCAGACTGTGACAGCTGAAACCTCACCTTCACAGGTTTTCCCATCACTTCCCAGTGTGCGTCCGATCCCACACTCACAGCGGTAAGAGTTCTTCAGGTTAACGCAAAATTCACCGCAGCCTCCATTGTTCTGCTCACATTCATTTTCATCTGAAAAAAAAAAAAAAACGAACAAGAAAAACACTGTCATAATGCATCCCCTGGCAAACACAGCTGGCAAAAAGGGGCTTCTACGTGGGAAGACCGTGGACTGGCTTTCCAGGCCTCATGACCTGCATGAGGGCAACAGAGAGGAGTAATCCTACTAAATGCTAAAGACCACTGCCTACTGACAGCAGCAGAGTGTTTTGTCACGCTGTGTCTACTTCAGGAACAAAGCAGACCTAGAGGGAAGGACTGCAGCCATTTCTGAGTGAAGATGGACACAGTCCCACTGGGAAACTTCCAAATCGGTTCTACACACTAAGGAGTTCATGCTTTCATTTATCTTCTCACCCTAAACTATCCTTCACTCCACTCACAAAAACATTAAAATGAAGTAAACACGACTTCACTGCATGGTAAAACCAGGTGAATACCAGAATCAGTCAAAAATAAACCCTATCTATTTTGTATCACACTTGCTACGGCTACACCGGGCAGCTCAGGTGTTCTTGCAGAACAGAAATGTCAACTGACTGTGGTGAGACCTAACCTGGGCGCTGGTGCCACACAGGCCATCACAACCATTAGCTGCTCAGACACTCTGTACTGAAGATGAGAGGAAGAGCTGGATTCTGAGCTACCACCTCTGGGGACTCAGCTCCTCGCTGGCCCACAATGGCCCTCCCTGCTCTGCTCTGCTCCTTTGCAGCCTTCCACAGAGCTGTGCCTCCTACCTTTCCAGCTCAGAGAAGTGCCTGAGCTGGCATCCCATGCTTTCTGGAGTGGACGCTGGATAAAGGTTGCAGAATAACCTTGAAATGTGCCTGGACTAAGTTTTTACAACCTAAAGCAATATACCCACAAATACTTGTGTCACATTTCTTGCTGGCTGCATTCAGCTCCAGATTAGAGCCCTCCTGGGTGCCGAGGGTATTTAATGAGGAAAAAGTACAGCAGACGTTTTTGAATATCTTGGTAAAGCTCTGAAAACTCCTCCTAATTTTCTGTTTTAAAGGCTAAAGTTCCTCTATACCCGTCTGCGTTGTGGTTTTGTTTTTTTTTTTGAAAGGTACTTTGTTCTCAGAGATTCTCATTCTTCAGCCTGATTTAACCTCTATGTGCAAAAATTGAATCACATAGAGAGGAAGAGACAGTCATTGCTATTGTTGAGCCACAAAACTAACCATTTCTTTTAGGCAGACCAGAATGCTGAGGTTATCAATCAAAGTTCACCTGGGGTTCTATCAAAACATCTACTAGATGTCAGAAGCTTTTTAAAACCAAGAACAAAGAAAAATACCACTTTAAGGGACAGGTCAGAGACGAGCTCTCTTAGGTATAAGTGGTCCCGCACATACACAGTACCTGCAGCTTGCAGGTGGTGGTGGTGGTGTCTTCTTCCACAAACAATGTGAACTGAGTATTTTTAGCCAAAGAAATGGCTGGCACACTGCTTTGGGAGGCAGGAAGCATGTCCTGGAGACACACACAGATACTTCCCTTTTCACGTGTGATAGGCTCCATACTTTCCCTTCTAATGATAAAACTAAAGCTGCTTAAAAACAGAGGACAAAGAGGGAAAGGGCTACTGGCAAAGGCACAGAGATGCTTTTAGAAGGCCCAAGAGCTTGGCTTGGTCAAGGGCTGTACCCAGCAATTCACCTTGCTGGTCCTCCAAGTTCTACAACATGCAGCAGATCTGTCTCTGCTCTTCTGCACCAGTGACAACCAGCACTTCCGGGATACAGGCTGGTTTTCTTGAGACTGGACTGGGAGAGCGCTGAACTCATTTTAACTATGGCTTAGTACAACATGGATCCAGGTATTCAAGAGGTCAAAGGCAATGCACAGAGTTGGTGGATCCATGACAGAAAGTCTAAGACCTAATCTAACCCCTAATTAAGTCTGCAAATGAAAATATAACTTAGGATCAGCAGTTCTACTCTGAGATTCAAACTACGTAATGTACCGAAGAGAAGTCAGGGAGGTTTACAGAGCTGCTTAGCATTACTGCAGCATCTTCAGCTCCCATCTTAGGGTGAGCTGGGAAAGTAAGAATATTCTCCATATAGAAAAAAGCATACAAAAGGCTAATACAGATCTGTTTGGTTTCTCTGGAAGGCTGGCACAGTTGTGCACAGAAATGTGACTATGCAATTGCTCAGCACAACAGAAAGTCATTAGAAAGATGAGCGAGACATACAAAGAGAGAGGCTGCAGGTAGGTAAACCAATGTGATTATTACAGCTGATATGTTGTGCCATCTGGTTATCATGAAGAGAAGCAGCAGTGCAGAAATCCTACCCAGTTTGGCCATGGGGGGATGTATGCAGCTGCAGCACACAGGCTCAGGACTGCTGCATGCCTCCCTGCTGCAGGAAATCCTTTCCTGTGAGCCTGCCACACGTTCATTGAGTGCTGGTGTTTTTCAAGGGCACTTCTGTGACTGGAACTCTTGCACAGAAGCAGTCAATAAATGCTTTTAATTAGCTGAGAGAGCTAAGGCAGCCACTCGGCTGCAGAGATGTGGAGCAGCTTAAGCAAAATCCTTCTGTAGAATCAGTGTGAGCAAGTGTAAATCTGCAGCAGGGCCAGGCTGCTCTCTCCACAGTTTGTAATGACTGTGGCCCCTACCCTGATGCCCACAGACACAAGGAATGTGAAGAAAGACATCACCCACGTCTGCTTTGTCAGCTGTAGTCCATATGGAAGAAGCTAATCTGTCACACGGCTTTCTGGATCAACTCTGCCTTCAACTTCTCCACCAAATCAAGCCAGAAAGATGAAGATCCCATTTCCTTCCTCCCTCTATGGTGCCTCTTCCTCTTCACCAGTCTGGCTCTATAGCTCCCCCACAGCCACCCGCTCCCATCTTCTTCCTAAGACTTTGCAGTCCAGGTACTGTCCTCCTAGCACCACACACAACCACACCCATTCTTCTCCTCAGAGGTTCACAGGGATTCCCTCACAAATCCTGGAAGCCCAGATTCACCACTCTGCTCTCACTTACAGCACTCCACCTCCCTGCTGGTCATGCTAGTCTCTGCCAGCACAGCCACCAAGTGCCAGTCCCCTGAATACCACCTTGTCATGCTGCCTAAAACCACTGTGGCTGTGCTGTGACTTACAATCCCTTGGCTCTCCTCAAGCCTCAGGCCCTGGACCATGCCCCACGAAGGCAGTAAGTATAGTGAAGCTTAGTGTGTAGCCCTACAACAGCCAGCAAAACTTTTCTTGGAGGAAAGAGACATTCAACAGAGCAAGTAAGAGGAAATCTCTAATGACGGACTGAACAGCCATTCCTGAATACCAATGAGACTGTATCATGATCTTGCAAAGAGAGTCTGCTACTGACAGTGAGGCTGCTGCCTGCAGCAGCTGGACCATGCAGAAAGCAAATCGAGCCTCTGTATGTGTGTAGCTTCAGGGACACCAGAATGCATTCAGTCATGGGATGTCATTTCTCACCCTGTGAGGAGAGATTGGGAACCACTTACAGAATCAAAGACCTGTTCTAGGCAGCAAGGGGGAAAATCTCCTCCCAGAATACTTTTCCTTTTTTATACTGCTTTGTTAAGACAATAGATTGAGATGCGAGCAATGAAACAAAGGGGAAAGAAAGCATCAGTAACTGACACAAGATATTTCCACCCTTACCAAGACATGTCTGTCCATCAGGTCCTAGTGTTGTTCCCAGGGAACACATGCAGTCACCAGTGTCCAGGCAGGAGCCCTGGCAATCCACCACGTCACAGATGTCATAAAAATCTAGGGCATGACAAGAATGTTGTCAGCACAAACCACTGAGCATGTAATGAAAATACTGTATTTGTACCGTCAGCTTCATGCCCCATGCCAAGTCCATCAGTTACACACCTAGCCCACATTAGGAAAGCTAAACCACTGAAGCTGATGACAAACAATCTAGTTTAATTACTGTAAGTCAGAGATGCAAATTTTGGCTTTGATAGCATGCCAAGACAAACCAGAGAGCCCACAGTGAGCATTAAATCACTGTGGCCAGGTCAGGTATGGAAGATTTCCACTAGCTGAACAAAGGCTAGAATTTATGGAGGTGAAACTCCTTAATT